TTTGAACCATTTGAGTTTTACTGGTATCATGAAATGTGTCTGTGTAAAAAGGGGAATTCTGTCGCTTGAAAGAAGCTGGGTCTGTGAGAGAACTCCATATCCATCCTGATGTGAAGTTTTCATTTTCCTTAAGTTGCATATAGTACTGAATTTTCAAGGGAATAGAATACACAGCTCACACTAAAATTTGATATGCCTCTGCTCTCAGACAAAATCTTTTGCATATATACTTGCCTAATATGTAACATTTTTGTCCAGTGACAACTAAGTTGCAGTTTCCTAAAAGAAACTGATGAAGGTCACACACAGAAAATTTGAGAAGCTACTGAAAAGAACTTTGTCCAGAGATTTGCAGGAAAGCGGACAAAAATGGGAGAAAAAAACCCCAAAAATCTTCTTTCCCATAAGAAGGGACTGGCAACACTTTATTTCAGGTTTGTGAGCTGCAGAATATCGGCAGTAGGGATTAAAGTGTTCATTTTCAGCTGGGAGGGCTTACAGATAAGAAGCATTGCTTAAAATTTAGAAGTTGGAATATTGGTAGAGAGATGCATGAAGTTCTCCCTTGGCCCCTAAATATGTGCTGTCTGAAGTGAACAGCTATTATTTACAGGAGCCCTTGAAAAGTGACGGTGTCAGTTAGAATACAACTTTGAGGGATTTTTATGATAGTGGGAAGGTGGTTATACTTTGCCTTGTTATGTACAATTTTGTGATACCATGCTGTAAATTTCAGATGACAGAATACTTAAAATATCCAAAGACTGCAAGTACCTACCTGTTATTGAACAGAGTACTTTTACATTCTGACTACTCCACTTGCCTATTACAGAAGGATAAAATCATGCTGATTAGAAGAATCTGATTTCTATTAAGCTATTCTATTTCCCAATACACTGTGAGTTGGCACCATGATATGAAACAAAATACCAATTTTTACTGCAATGCTGTTTATACTTTAATCATGTTCTAATAAATAGCAGAACTAACAGTCACCCTCAGAAGGTCATTTTATCAACAAGAGAGCTTATTCTGATTGAAGAAAACAATAATATTAATTTACATTTTTAACCAAGAATGTAGACCCTGCATGCTATACCATTATGAAAAAAACAGGGCTGGATTTACTTACTGAAGGAGGGTGGGGGGAAGTAAGGAGTTCAAATAATAAATCACAATAAATCACATTGCACTGCAAAACTACCAAAGTTTTCTGTACTGTCTGGTTCAGATGAGAGTATCAGTTTCCAGTCACAGAGATAACTGGTGAAACCACCAAAGGGTCCTTACTGGAGCATGCAAGTTAAATGATAAAAGTGCAGCAGGCGTTTAAGTTCTCAGCAGTATGAGAGGGCATGAGGAAGGATTTCTCCCTAGGCATTAGCACAGGCACCCTTAGATGTCATTGTGCTGAAAGAACAGGCAGTGATACCTAATGCAGATATTTTCTGAGCACCTGGCTGGTCTCAAAGGAAAATGTTCCTTTGCTTCTCACACTGATCTGCCTTTGTCCTTCTTCCCTGATTACTTCAGGGATCAGGTGTGTGTCTTTATTTCCTTGGGCTTAATTCTAGGTTCTGCATGATGTTATAGACATGAACTGGTTTTGCCTTGCACTTTCTTTTTATCTCAGACAGGTGCTGTTTCTAAACTCTAGGCATGCAGCTTCTTAAACTCAACCAAGCACTTTTTTCCCTCCCTCTAGATTTGCCAAGAAAACAGGAGTGTCCAAAATTATCTCGTGAAGTGCCTTCAACTCCAGTAAACAGGCTGAATGAGAAGTGAAAAGTGTGTGTGTGTAGCTGGTAGCACTCAACAGACCAGCTGTGCAAAAGCAGGGCTGGGCTGTTCCAGTTCTGTGGATGAGCTTGCAAGAGATGTGTTCTAAAAAAAACAAACCCAAAACAAGCAAAAAAACCCCAAAAAGCAAAAACCAAAACAAAAAATCCCCAAACCCACACCAAAACCCAACTAACCAAACAAAAAACAAACAAACAAAAAAGAAAAGCTGGAACATGGGGTAGGGAGAATTTGTGTTTATGAACCTTCTTTTTCTTCCCATAGCATTTAATTCAGAGGTAAGGCTGCCCAGCTATAATTCAAGAGACACAGAACTGAAGCAACTGTTAATCTCTCCCTCTTATGATTTTTTCCCCCATAAAATTGCTTATTGCTTGATTCATTGTAAATAATTTTCTTGCCTTATGAAGGATTCCCAAATTTTTTATGCTTCTAGAATCTAAGTACACAGCTGCAGAAACTGAAGTGTTTTGTGCTGGTATTTCCATCAGAAATTATCTGTAGAATTTTCAGGTCACTGGAAATTTTTAAAAAAATATTTTCATTTCAAACAGGAAGGAAGTAAGTTGTATCCAGAAAAAAGAAAGTTCCTGTAGAAGTTTCTGCATTTCTGAGATTAAGGAGTCCTCCCTCTTACAGAATTCAGGTGAGACAAAAGGTAAAATGAAAATATGTTCAGTGACGATAAATTAAACCCTACTTTGGTTTAATGTTTTTTGGATGTGCAGAATGTTAAAAAACAGGTTGGTATATTCAGCAGATGCACTGCTATATGTAAGCCACAAGGCAGATAAGAAGATGATGATGTAGTAACAACTTGTACAAGTGACATTAGAATTTGAATAATAATGAGAACTCTGCAGCCTTTTCACTCCATATCATTCTGTGCAGCACCTTTAAGCTCTCCTGATGAACTCTTTACCTGCTCTGAAAACTTTGTGAAACTTGGTGTTCTGGGCCATCAAAATATTTGGAAAATATGTGTGGGGAAAAAACCCAAACAAAACCAAAACCAACCGAAAAAAAACCCCCCACAAAACCGAAACAAACCAAACCCAACCAAAAACCACAACACCCCCCCCAGCTCCCCCCCCAAAAAAACCCCCAAAACAAACCCCAAAAAACCACAAAACACAATGACAAAAAAGAATCTGTGACATTAAATATGTAAAGTTCAGCTAAGGCTTTGATGATTGTGAAGCTCTAATATAATGATGTCCTGAGTTACAAAAATACATTAACTTCATTCTTTTCCCTAGGATTGTAATGGAGAGCTGTTCCAGAGAGAGCAAAGTAATCCATAACTGATTCTTTCTTTCTGTTTTTCTCCCCCATGGCAAAGTAGGACGAGGTCTAAGAAGAAGAATCATGTTACATTAGGTGTGTGCAAATAATCTCCATTACAGAAAAATGGTGTAGGCATTGCTAATAGGCTGTGCTTTCAGATTTCACTTTCTCCAGAAATATACCGCATATCGAGATGAATATGATATATGTAGAATTTGGGTTGTGCTGTTGTGTTCTGCCCCCCTTATTTTCACTTTTGCTACGTAAACCTCCTTCTTCTGTAGGACAACTTGAAAAGTATAATTTATTTAATCATTTGTTGCTTGGATACTGTTAGTCTTCCTTGACCTAGAGCTGCACTCCTAAATCAAGCTTACACAATTTGAATGAAACTTGATATTAGCTTTAGATTAAAAACAACCTAAGCATTGCAAAGGCATGTATGTTTTCTCTAAGAATGACATATATCTGCCTTTGTGATTGGATTTTCTTCTGTTTTCTTCCTGTGGTATAGTTAACAGTCCTAGAAGCTAGAATACAATACAGATTATTTTGTCAGAAATAGTTTTCACTTCCTTTATAAATAACCATTCTATAACTATTTCTTTTCTTTTGTGCTCTTGGAGAACACCAGAGGGACACAATCCCTTAGGAATATTGTACACATTTCCCCAAGATAAAAATTTGGATAGCAAAGAAAAACTTCTAGTTCATAACCAAGTAATCTGGAAACATTTGAGAATCACTTCTGCTAGAAATATTGAGCAGTTAAACTATATTTTGTTATATAAGAGTCTTTCAAATATGTATTTCTCTTTGAGGGAAAAATACTAAATATTGAGAATGCTTTCACACAGAAGCTTAGTATATGCTTGTCTATATCATGTAGGTAATTTTAACACTGAGTATTAGATTTGCCTAATAGCAGGTTGAAGGTCAATGGCACCAGTCCTTTACATTCACCACTAATTGTGTCCTGTTAGCTAGAAAATGAAAATGAAAAATCTAGAAATCAAAGAACAGGGCCTACACATGCATCATCTAACTAAACAACCTCATTATTTCCTGGGTTATTTATTCAGGGTTAAAACCTCAAACACTTACCAGCTGACTGATGATCTATCCATAGGAATGGAAGGGGCTCCCTTATGAAAAGAAAAAAAAAAAGGCTTTCATCAAAACTTGCAGAATTTTTCATGTCTTTCTTCCATCTTCTCCCCATTCAACAAGACTTTGAAAACCAACAGAAGGGGAAAAAGGGAAATTTTTACTTGAAAAACTGGGAACTTGACTAACATTCACTAACATGAATGAATGTGATAATGTTACTTACCAGTAAAAAACCTCCGTCACACATAAAGGATGCATTTTCAGTGATTAAGGGCAGGGGAAAGTATATGAAGCAAACCACAAATGGGATACATGGTATTTTTGCTGAAAATTACTCATGAACTTTCAGCACAAAGGAGTTTGGTGAGCTGGGGCTCTGCCAAACTCCTCAGGCTGTTGTATGGCCAGGTAACCTCTCCCCAGTATCTCCCCAGTAACCCTCCCACCCTCCCAGCCTTGGC